ACATTTTAGTCTGAGACTAGCTTAAGCCTGGTCTGTGAGCGAATCTTGTAAATTGTATTTTGTTTTTCAGATCAGTAAAGTCCCTCATGTCATGTAACTCTCAGGCAAATCTGTATTTGTTTTGTAATTCAATCTGTTTGATCTGCTTGATTTCCCTTCCCAGCTGCATGTGTTGTCCCTGTTTACTGTGCATTCAAAACAGCCAGTGATGATGAGGTAAAGTAATACCAGGGTTGCTAGTCTTTTTTGAGGAATTGATTTTTGAATTGAAGAAGAAACAAGGGGCCTCATTTATAAAATGTTCACAGTAAAAAGTGATCAGTTGACTTAAAATTAGTAAGTAATAAACTTCACGCATAACTGATATAATTAAGTTACGTGAACTTGACAATGCCACATAACCTAAAATTATTAAGTATAAATTTCATGCCTAATTGAACAAATTAAGTCAACGGGTTTCCTCACTTTTTTTAAGTTAAATCAACTGATCACTTTTTACAAAACCGTCCTACACTTCTCAAATGTGTGTTCGAGTGATTCAGACCCAGACAGCAACACGTGGAATCCACGCATACCAGATGTGGGCCGGATCTGGGCCGACACCGTGTTGTTGTCTGGGGAGAAATGAACGAATCCACAAAAAAAGAACGTGTCTACGCCTCTCTTCCTGATGTGAAATCTAAATTGCAAATGCTCTTGAAATTGTGCGTAGCTGAATGGTTTCAGATCTCCGCCTTCCTTGTAAACATCCCCTAGGTAATGTCATCAACATTTTAAAGAGCACTAGTCGACGTCTAAATGCTTTACTTGAGAATGGCGAGCGGCAAGAATTGTTTAGATTTCTAAATACCTGCAAGACTTCACATTAGGCCTGGTTTCACAGACTGGGGTCAGATTAAGCAAGGAATAGGACATTTAAGAAGCTTTCATGAAAAAACATTACTGCGCATCTTGAGACCAAACAATGGCACTGACATGCAGATTTCGTATCCGTTGCTTTCAGTTAAAACCGCTCAAACATGCATTTTTAATCTGGGACTAGATTTAAGACTTGTCTGTGAAACAGGGGTTAATGTAGATATTTCCTTTCTTTGAGTCACCCGATTTGCCTGTTGTTCACATTTTTAAATAAAGAGATTTGTTAATGTAAAGCAGGCGGTGAAAGACACTGTGATCTGGCAGAAGCTGCCCTGGTTTTTAATTGGTCTGAAATTTGTGAAAGGTGTGGCGAGTCAGCAACATCATGACAAATGTGAAATCCCACATTTATTCTGGATTCTGCTGCTGCGCTGGGAGATCCCCTGTAGAGACATGAAGGCTTCGGTAACTCTGCTGCTCTTTTTGAGCCTCTTTGAGCTGAATCTCAGCGTCTACAGATATCACTTTTTCGTGAATGAGACTATGAACTGGAAAGACGCACAGAGTCATTGCAGAGCGCGCTACGATGACTTGTCCACTGTCAGAAGTAAAGATTTACAGACGCTTTCTACCAATCCTCGAATTAACAAGAATTATTTTTGGATTGGACTCGAGAGAGACGGTAGAGACAAAACCAAGTGGATGTGGTCCGAAGGCGGGGAGGCGACGATAACGTTTTGGAACGAAGGAGAACCAAATAATGATAATGAAAAATGTGGCACTATCGATAAAAGAACATATAAATTGTGTGACGGCGACTGCTCTGGTAAACAAGAATTTTACTGTATGAAGGTCTTTGAGCTGATCCTGGTGTGGCAGAAAAGCACATGGGAAGAGGCTCTGCTATACTGCAGAAAAAAACACATCGACCTGGCCATACTCAACTCAGAAGACATCATGGAAGAAGCGCAGATAAAGAGCACAGCAGCCGATACAGATTACATGTGGACCGGTCTGCGCTTCATCGCTGGTCACTGGTTCTGGGTAAATGGAGAAGGCATGGGCTATAAGGCCTGGTCTACGGGTGGAGAGCCCAAGTGTCCTGCCATGGGTCAGCGCTGTGGGGTTTATGATCGAACACAGAACGTTTGGAAACCCGCAGACTGTGAGCAGAGACTCAACTTTCTCTGCGTCAAGAAGGGATAAGAGTCTAATCTTTGAAGGTTAGCAGATACTGTGAACGGGGAGTTTCTTGCATAGTCATTTTCAGAAACATTTACTTTCTTTGCTTTGTGTTTGTAATGATGCTTTTTTCATCATGATGAAATTGATAATGATTTTACAGACAGAAAGTTGCTCAAATGTTGACCCGTAAGAAATCAATTTAGCAGCACTCATGTAACTTGTTTTATTCAATGCATAGAAATGTTCAAAAACTGATTTGTAACTAAATAAATAAATGAATGTTTGGGTTCTTTTATTTCATATTCACTGTTATTTTGTAAGTCTCGCTGTGTAAGTGACACTGTAGCAACTTTTATTAGACCAGTCTGGTGACATTCCCACCTCAATCTGTTGGTCGGATTCTATCAAGGACTTATAAGATGTTTTGAATAATTTACATTCAGAATAATTGACAAAAAAGTTACTTTGACTCGTGCTAGAAGATATTCTGGCATCATTAACCTAAATTAATTTTTTGAGTAACTGAATTTTTACTTCTTTTTTTTTTCATTTCACAAATTGCCTACATTTTCAATTTTATGTCTAAAATATTATGTCTTAAAGCTGCAGTAGGGAGTTTTGAGAACACGTTGACTTAGCCTGAAAATTTGAACAAGCACAACTTACAGGTCCCGCCCCCTTGCTCTCTGCTGCGCTACAGCCCTCCCTCCACAGCTCGTCCTCCACAGCGGAGCCTGTCGTGAACGCGCAGGCTAGTAAACAGGGCCACCGATAACAGCGGATAAAAAGTTATATGGCACATTCACTAATAGGGACTAAACGTCAACAATATGCTTTACATTGACTATGGCCTGCCCATACTTTGACTACAAACTTGGTCCTCAAATCATTATGTATTTTGCAATAGCATACATGTAACTTTATAACGTTGCACTCTTTCTATAAGTTATAAATAGCTAGTAAGATAACATTAATATAACGGTAACTAACTTTACAGTATGTAAGTAATTATTCTAGCGATATATAATGCTAGATAAGGTGTGCTAGTACATTATTTCAGCAACATGACAAGCCAGTGAATTAACAGGTTTCAATTGTTGCTTAGTAGGGGTGTCACGATTCTCCAAATCCTCGATTCGATTACATTTTCGATTCTAAGGTCACGGTTCGATTCGATTCTCGATTTTTACATTTATTTTTTTAAAGCCGAAACCGGCCAATCAGGATGCTCTCTGTCTTACATGCGCTTCATGAGGCACATACGCAAGATCTCTCGCTCTCTCCCGTGCGCGCGCTATACGGTTTGGAGCACAGTTTTTTCTGTCTCGCATGCGCGATTGCGCGCTCTTGCTCGCTCGCTCACTCTAGATTCCGGGAGATTAACTAATTTGCGAGCATCAGGGAGCCGCTATCAATATGCGGGAGACTCCAGGAACTTCCGCGAGACTTGGGATGTCTGCAAAGTAAACTGTGGCTTTTTTGAAGCGCGAACGTTGTCAACATAACTCACTGGAAATCAAAAAAACTTACACACCTGCGACTTCAATGAAAGAGGAGGGGGTTCAAGTTCTGTCGATGGGTCTCCTGCATCTGCAGTTGCCATGCTATCTTTTGAATGGCTGTAGCTAAGAGGAGGTTGACCATAGACTCGCAGCGTGTTTTTTTTCCCGCTTGGCACGCCGACCGGACGTGACATGGGGGCGTGGCAGCATCGACGATTCCATTTTTTAATTCGATCAATTCAAATTTTTTTTAATTTCGATCGATTTCAATTTAAGATCGAAATCGTGACACCCTTATTGCTTAGCAGAGTGCATGACATTTTATCTACATGTTATGCGGCTAGAGTTTTGACACTGAGTCAATGGGCTCTGTGTAATTTTTTCCTTTTTGCTTGTTTATCATCATCAGTCTTTTTCCTTTTACCTCTTTGTTTTATGAGCAGGTGTCACTCGAGAATTGGCCGTTTAGGTTGTTTCTCCGTCATAAGCACAGCTGCAGCACGCCGGCAATCTTGAGTTTGAACGACGGCTCGCGCTCCGGCGCTCGCGCTGTGCAAGAGAGGGGTGTGATCAGCGCGTACACGAGCGTGATTGACACTGCTAAGACATTCCTCCTGGCTCTGATTGGTTGTTTCTGACCGGGAGCGTGTATTTCTGCAAATGGCAATAGGACCACTGGGGGGAGCCAGAAGAGCTTGATTTTTACACAGATTATCTGTCTCATATTCTACTGTCAGGACATAATGACAGTTTTAGCAAATACATTTTTTCAAAAGTTACCTACAGCAGCTTTAAATTACTTTGTAGGTGTTGGTGTAGAACAATGTATACAAACTGTGTGCTGGTTTTAGTAATAATCAGTGAACAAAAAAATATTTGAATATAAAGGCAAGATATTATTATATTATTTTGACCTTGGTTTCTTAAAGGCATATGCCTAAAGAATGTTCTGCTCCATCAGGACACTGCTAATCTGCTAATGTTTTTAAACTTAACGTTGAGTATGGCCGTCGATAATGTATCCAGGCTCTTTAGTTCGACTTTTTAATGCTGGCTCCAAAATTTTCTAAAATACTGTTTATTATTTGGGTCTTTTAACTGGACAGCAAAAAAAAATGTGTTGAAAAGTTTAAATTGTGGGTTTATATGATCAGACACTGAGTGTGTCATTATATTATTAACATTTACCAAAATCAAGGTTTTTGACCTGCCAATATCTAAGGAGCCGTTTATACGGCCGTTTTCAACTAAAAACGGAAGATTTTTTATGCGTTTTGGCCGTTCATTTACACTACACCGGTGTTTTGCTGGGCAAATGGGTACTTTCAGTACCATGATTTATCTCAAATACAGGAATATTAATAATCAAAACATGGCATTGTGTGCATGTTCCCTGTAGTTCTGTAGCATGTGCTTAAAAACATAATATCATAATCAAACAGAATGTTTTTAAAAAAACTGATATTGGTTTTGTTTTGTTTTTCCAGTTAAAAATGTAATTTCAGGAATGCACTCCCCCGCCAACATAATACTCCTATGGTTAGAATATTTAGCTTTGGTGAATGAGCCAGTACTGATATCTTGTTCTTCCCTGTGTTAGTCTTCCTTCAGTTTCTTATTCCAGCTGCCCAGAATCTCCTTCCTTTCCTTCAGCAAGAGTAGTGCTGTTAAACTGGATCCTTCAAAACAGAGAGAAGATGACAATCCACTGACACACTCATGCTACAGGCCAAAATAAATGACAGAAAATGAGCAAATGTCAAAAACATACAGTAAGCCCTGGATGTATTCAGATACTGCACTTAAGCCACATTCAACAATGTATGAATGTCATTGCATGAGATAATATGACAAAACATGGCACTTTTTAATCTTAGTTCATCACATTAAAAATGTCAAAATACTATATCTGTACTTTTTTGGTAGAAGTTTGATATGCCACATTTTTTTGTTTCATATGCATTGAAATGCAGACATTTTTAAGCGTGGCTTAATTGTACTTTTCTGGGCCACTGTGCACAGAAGGCATGTCATATTATTTTACCTAATACAAGAAGTAGTAACCAAGCCATAAGCATATATGGGGAATAAATGGACATCGATGCAGGTACTTTAGGTTGGACTGAATCCGTCCCTTCAGACTCGGACCAGTGTGGCAACATATGTACAATGCTTATTCCTAAAATAAAAGAAAGAGGACAAAAAAAGATTGTGGTTAGTGATTGAAAGCCGTGCAAAATGTTTCACCCTAATGAGGCTCATTTTTCTGTATTGTTAAATGAAGTGAGCCTTTATCACAGTTGGACATGCTGCAGCAGGATCAGGCTTTCTCAACATTTCCTGACACACTCCCATAAAGCCTTTCTCAGCAACATTAAGACAAGTGTGCTTACTCATTTCCGGCTGGCTCAGATCAGATTCCTATTTGAAATGAAGCTCTTCAGACGATTTGTGCAGGCCCAGACACGTGCTCATGTGTTGAGCAATAATTTGGGATGTCAGATTGTAAGTTGTTAATGTCAGCAAACTTGGTTGTATCAAAAAAGCATAAATTATACTGTTTGAAACGGATAGATATGACAAATATTATAGTTTTCATCATCAGTTATTTCTAGAGGACATCAGAGCTCAAGTTGAAAATGATGGCAAGACACTAAAAATCAAGTTTTTTTCCTTCGAAACATTTTTTTTGAGGGGTTGTGGTCAATTTTCTTTTTAAACATTAAAAATCTTACAAACGCAGAGATGTTTATAGATGTCTACTGTACATACATTATGTATGAATTAGCAATGCAAAGCAAAGTTTAAGCTAAATTTCATAAAGAAACTTAATATTTGATGTATTATTGTATTATATATAGTAATAATAAAGCATCTTATATTTCATAGAAATATTGTGGCTGTTATTACTATTCATCTATAGTGTCTCCCAAACAGGGGAAAACATGCAGTCCTAATGCCCTTAACAAAGGATTTTTGAAAATAATTATTGAAAATAATCAATTGTATTAAAATATATATATATATTTCCAAAGCTATCTGATCACATGTGATGGAATTTATTTATTTTTCCAAATTGCCACAGTATCTTAAATAATATTATTGTAATTGTAATCATTTGTACCTTCTGTGACAGCAGACAGCAAGTACACTGGAACTGACAACGTTTGATGCACCCATAGCATTTTCAAATACGGTGTGCCTGTAAGGCAAAACAACTCATGTGGATACCTGTAGGACAAACAAACCAAAATATGACCAACAGAACTACCACGTTTAGCATCTACCACACTCTCAAGCCCTATTCATATGGGACTAGTTTTCTAATTGGTTATTTGAGTTACAATTCTTATCACTCGACATCTGTGATTTCATGTACCGATCCGGATGGGACTAACATCTCTGTGTTTTATAGAAGTGGACGTTAAAGAAGCTCATCTGCATCACATATGAGACATTTATAGAAGTGGCTGTTTATAATAAACCCACAAAAGTGAGCAGAGTCATCTAGACAAGCTTCTAACCTGGCTGACACTGATATTAAAATATCTTAGCAGTTTCCGTGATTGGGCTCTATTTATTCATTTTATCATTTAAATTTTTCGTCAAATGCCATCATTAATGAAATGAAAGCAGAAAAAAAAAAGAAGCATTATATAATACAATATTAGTTATAATAGTTTATATCTGGCAATTCTGCTTTAATTCAGAATTGTGACTTGTTTTCTCAGAACTGTGTGATATAAAGTCGCAATTGTGTGTTATAAAGTCAGTCTTTTTTTTCCTCAAAATTGGACTGATTATAACAGGCAATTGTGAGTTTACATCACGCAGTTTTGGGAAATAAGTCCGAATTATGAGATAAAATGGTCACAATTACCCTTTTTTCAGTGGCGGAAACAAACTTCCATAGTAATCACGGACATTCGCATTCAGAGGGGGTTAGATTATTCATTATTCATATCACTATTAATCATTGACGCCTGGATGCAAACATGAAAGACACAAACCTTAGAAGGCCCAGTATATTCCACAGATAAAACTGCACACACACGATTGGTTTACTCTGAAACTCTTCCAGACTGATGAGGAGAAACAGAAGGACATTTCTCTCCATTACCTTTAAATGGAAAACAGCATTAAAGAGTAATACATGTAACGTTACATATACAAATCATGCAGCTTACACTCATATAGCCCTATAGCTCTGAAACAGACACACATTTCTTTCAATTAGGCACTTCCTTAAATCTTGATTTGTGGCAACAGTTTGGGAAATATTTCATAATATCACAAAAAACAGGAACTAGGTTTTAAAACGTGTGAGAAAGAGAAAAAGTACATGTGCAAATTAGCTCTTTTGGTAAAACTTTACAATAACAGTACATGAATAATAATGTACTATTACTTGAAATAATAAGTACACGGATTGTACATTAGTGCGATGAATGTGGTCTTTATATTTTACCTGCATAAAGCGAGGGAAAAGTCTGCACTCCTCAAAACCATCTGCTATGTGAAACAGTTCTAACAAAGACAGAAGCTGACAAACACACATCATAACCCCTACAAAATAGAAGGTGCCGGCCTGGGCATCTAAGAACACAACACAGGAGATCAGAACAGGTTTGTGATTATTTAAAGCAATAAAACAGCAATCATTAAAAACAGTCCATCTTAATGTATCTATAGGGGCTTTCGCACCGGAGGAACCTTTTCATAGTTCCTAAAACTATTGGCGAACAGGAACTAGGAACGATTTCAGTTCTAGGAACTCTTTTGGAGGAATTAATTTAGCTCATACTTCAGAGTCTGGTCTAAACCAGCACAATAGGAACTATCAGTGACGTCAGTGTTCACTGATTGGCCGAATACACGCGAAACACCAGCACCCGCCATTTTTAAAAAAGCTATGTAAACACACAGATTATATAGCCTATATATATTTACTCCAGAAACTAACTCTATGAACATGTAAAACAGTGCTCGATGGGCCTCTTAACCTTTACGCTGAGGAGAAAATCCAACGCAACTTTGAGGGGACCAAGCCGAACATGATCATGTATTTCTGCTAAGCTAAATAAAAGTCACAAAAACGAGCGGTTCCGACTGGCGGTGCGAATGCAACCAGGAAAACGTTCCTAGGTGAACCATTAGTTCTCGGGGAACCACCCTGGTGGCTAGTTCCTAGAACTATCCGGTGCGAAAGCCCCTTAAGTGAGTAGGCAAGTATTTTCAGCAGAATATATCTATTAAAAATGCAGGCCTGGTTTCACAGACAGACCTTAGATTAAGCCAGGATTAGACTTTAGTTCAATTAGGACATTTAAGTAGCTTTTATAAACGTGAAATATAACATTACAGGTGTGCATCTCGAGACAAAACAATGGCACTGACTGCTATTTTAAAATATATCAGTGCAAGTTGCTTTTAGTTAAAACAGCGCAAAGACATGCATTTTAGTCTTAGAGGGATAGTTCATCCAAAAATGAAATTCTGTCATTAATGACTCACCTTCATGTCGTTCCAAACCCGTAAGACTGGATGAAGATCTTTTTGATGAAATCTGAGAGCTTTCTGTCCCTCCATTAACAGCTACGCAACTACCACTTTGACACTTCAAAAAGTTCATAAAGAGATCGTAAAACTAATCCATATGAATTGAGCGGTTTAGTCCAAATTTTCTGAAGAGACCTAAATTAAATCTATTTATCATATAAAGCGACCATGTCTCTTCAGAAAATGTGGACACAACCGCTCAATTCATATGGATTAGTTTTACGATCTCTTTATGAACTTTTTGAAGGGTCAAAGTGGTAGTTGCGTAGCTGTCAATGGAGGGACAGAAAGCTCTCAGATTTCATCAAAAAGTTTTTCATTTGTGTTCCGAAGATGAGTGAAAGTCTTATGGGTTTGGAACAACATGAAGGTGAGTAAATAACGACAGAATTTTCATTTTTGTGCGAACTAACACTTTAAGCCTGATCTCTAAAACCAGCGGGTAAAGTAACATGTTTGATGTGTGTGGAAGTCAAGAGCCCTTTCGTAAGTGTTCTTCTTTGGTTGTTACACAACTCTTAACAGCCACTTTCTCTAACAACATTTGTGTACAATTAGGGCAGCTAAACAAACTGAGTGTTTGTTTAACATACCAGATTATTTACATGAGCAGCCATTTCAAATGCTAGCTCATAACTGTTGCTTACCTTCCCCAAAAGAGAGAAATCTGGCTGTCATATTCGCGAAAATCCATGTGTGTCCACAGAACTGAAGCAAGTTGTATGAAAAGAGATATGTGAGACTGAGGCTAAACCTGCAAAAGATCACATTTAAGTAATAGACTTATACAGCAAATTAAAAATAAATAATTAAAAAACTTATAATTGAAAAGTTTTGTTCATGTAGAAAATTATTAATAGTCCTCTAGTCTGCCAATTATTCAGTCATTTTTATGCATAATTGAGGTTCATCTGCCGCAACTTGGAAGGGCCTTCTATTTTATGATATTTGTAAATAATCCATAATAAAGTGATAAATAATTTCAGGACTTGTCAATGTGATTCCAACACTGATCCCAAAGCTCTCAAGCGATGCGCTGTTGTTATTACGTCCTCACCTCAGGAGATCGCGAGAGTTGATCGTAAACACTCGAACTAACGTAATATGATTTGGTAATCTAACGTAATCTAAAACAATGTTATATACGTTTCTACGTAAACAGAAACTTTAGAACGCGTCCCGTCCGTGCGTTGAGTTCCATTCGGCTCCGTTTCGGCTCAACGCCCCCAAAGAAGCTTTCAGAATCTGACATTTTGTTTTATTTCTTTATTATTGTTATTATTATAGTGGTTAAATACAAAGCTACCATTTTATTATTGCTATGTGTGCTGCATCCTTGCAACAACAACTAAAGTCCGGTCTGATATTTGATATCGACTAATAAATGAACATTTGTTTTGGGTGAGACTGCGCGCTGATGACCGACATTAACAACCGAATGATGTCAACAATACACGTCGATTTAATGATGCTGATATTTACCTCATTCCTCCCAAGCTTCCGTAGTGATGAGATAAAATAAGGCATTAGGGCGAAATCAAAAGTGTGAGGAAGTTCTGATCACAGAACTCCCCCTCTGACGTCAAGAGGGCAGATCTACAGTTGGTTTTCCCAACACACACTACAGAGGGAACGTGTGCTTGGCTTGATATTTGTGATCTCATGGCACGAGCCAATCAATAGCCTATGTTTTAGTTGGGTTTTTTTTGTGTTTGTTTGTACTATTTTAGCATTTCATATTCCTTGCAATATTTTTAATTGTGTGTTTTTGTTTAAAATAGATTTTTAAAGTTCTATTTACAAGTGTTATCCTTAACAAATTGTAATAATTTACATTGCAAGCCAATTAATAATAATCACTTTATTTTTATATAGCGCCTTTAAAGCAGCTTCTCAAGGCGCTTTACATAATAGAACAAACAAGTTAAAATACAACGTAAAAAAAAAAGTCAAGTAAAAGCTAACCTAAAAAAATGCGTTTTTAAATGAGGTTTAAAAATACTTAGAATCTGTGCATTCCAAAGCCTAGGAGCGTATGATGGAAAGCCCTGTCCCCAGTACGCAACCGAGTCTGTGGGACTGCCAATAGACCAGCTTGTGAGGAGCGTAAGTGACGCTTGTGTATAAAGTTAAAAGTGCAGACAGATACTGAGGGGCCAAACCATGCAGTGCCTTATATGTGAGCATGAGGATTTTAAAATCAACTCGGAACCTGACCGGGAGCCAGTGCAAAGACTTTAAAATCGGTGTAATATGCTCATTTCTTCTGACTCCAGTCAGGATAGCAGCTGAATTTTGCACATATTGCAGTTTGTTAAGCATGTTTTTAGGAACTCCAGCAAGAAGTGCATTGCAGTATTAATAAGCCTTTCAGTCACAGAGAGGGATAACATAGAGCGGAGTCTAGAAAGGTTTCTGAGATGAAAAAAGGAGTTCTTAACAGTGTACCGCACATGAGAGTCAAAGGACAGAGTAGAATCAAATATAACTCCTCTAAGTTTTTTATTTAGTTTGTGCTTCCAAATCAGAGCCATCTATGTTTAAAATTAGTGAGCCAGCTTTACGAAGCTGATGAGAGATGCCAATAAGCAAGACCTCAGTCTTATCACTATTAAGACACAAAAAAATTTGGGAGATCCATGTTTTTATCTCAGAAATACAATATGTTGAAGCTGCAGTCCGGCGTTTTTCCTCTTTGTCGCCATCTCTGTTCAAAATCTGCAATTGCAGTCATTCGCGGAATTATAAACTTTACGTGAGTTGCACTTCAACACCCTCGACACGGCACAGCGCGGATGAACACAGTGTTTGAGGAGAGTGTGCAGCTGTCAGTCACCACGCCGGTGTTGATACTGGCATTCAGAATCACAGATTATTCTTTTTGGAAGTATGACCAACATAATAATTTTCACTGGAAAATGTCATCTGAACAAGTAAGTAACATCCACTTTTGTTCTGGTTCTGACATTGCAGTAAATCGCACTGATTAAATCTAACAATCGCTTACAAGTTATCATATCACGCAAAACCGTGCAAATTATACTTTGTTCTCAAATTGTTAATGTTAACAACGTAAGCATTGCGTGACTACATGTAATGTCCTTCCGATATGTATCCTTGTTTTAGCATGGGCCGGTTGTTGCAGTCTCTAATTTCTGTAGCGACTCTGAAGTCCGAACGAAGTCTTTTGCATTTTACAGCGGGTGAATCTGTTGTCACTGGTGATTGTCGTTTGAACCTTTCTGGATCTGTGCTGTGAGAAAAGGCTATAAATCTCCACCTCCAGCATCCTCACACGCAATATAGCCTACTAGCTGAGACTCTTCTTTATGTGTACAGATGTGACGTAATGACGCAAAGACATGCTCGAATCTCCCGCAGAAATCCACCAGTACCACTGGAATTAAAAACATTATTACAAGCTTACCGCTTTGAATCGAGCTAAGGCAAGCAGATAGTTTTAAACACTGGCTGGTTATGTATTTTCTCAAATATGTATTTTGGATCATTTTTAACCCCAAAAAAGACTGCAGCTTTAAAAAAGGAACATCCAAATTTTGACCAGTGAATATAAATCTGAGTGTCATCTGCATAAAAGTGATAATTAAGCTCAAGTGATCTTAGAAGCAATCCAAGTGGAAATATGTAAATGCTAAAAAATAGGGGGCCTAAAATTGAACCTTGAGGAACACCCATACGGACAGAGCCGATCTCAGACCTGAAACCACTCATACAGACAAATTGTTGACGATCAGACAAGTAAGGTCTAAACCAGGTTAAAACAGTCTCAGAAACACCAAAGACAGTTTCCAGGCGGTTTTCGATGCTGCTGGGACAACACCAGTACGCAAAGATTCCTTAATGTCAAGGAAAGCTGGGCACAGTGAGTCCAAACAAGATTTAAACAAGCTTGTATAGGGAGGGGATCAAGTAAACAAGTGGTAACTTTCATACGTGATACCTCCCTAGTTAGCAGCTCAGAGTCAATTTCAGAAAAGGCAGTAAAGGATGTGCCAGAGAAACTAGACAAGCATAGTGCAGAAGCGGAAACAGGTGTTGCATGAATAATTTTATAAACATTGTCAATTTTGGAGCTAAAGAAATTAAGAAAATCATTACACAACTGATTTGAGACAGGCAGAGAGGTACCAACATTAACTTTGAGAAGTCTGTTTATAGTATGAAAGAGATGCCTAGGATTACTTTTATTGTTATCTATAATCTGAGAAAAATAAAGAGATCTGGCAGACTCAATTGCAGATCTATATTCCCCCAGGTGGTCTTTCCAAGCTTGATAAAAATACATTCAGGCCTGAGTCACGCCACTTGCGCTCCAGTTTACGGCAAGCTGCTTTCCTAAAGCGCAGGTCATCATTATACCAAGGGGCAGAACGAGTAAAAGAGATTCTGCGTGACTTCAAGGGAGCAAAAGATCAAGTGTAAAATCTTATCTTCAAGAGCTGACGGAAGACCACTAAGAGAGGAGACAACAGAGTCTGCAAAATCTGACGGATCGATTGATTTCCATTTACGGAAATTAACAGGGAAATTAATAATGAAGAAAGCAGATGATGTATTCAATATGCCGTCATGAATTTGTATTTCAGGTGCGACCTTCAGTCAAATCTGAATGTCTGATTTGCCAGTTAAATCGTTGTTTTTTAGATTTTACTATCATGTAAGACAACGATCCAAACACATCTGACTTTCTTCTGTTAAACAGAAAAGGATACATTTAGAAGAATGGTTACACTGAGCTGTTAAGCTCCAAAATGAACCATTTTTTTGTGCATAAAAGCATCATAAATGTCTTCAATAAAACACATGCACTATATTCCAAGTGCATTACCTATTGAAATGAACCCATATTCGCATATTCCTTTTTTTGAGTCTTCTTGAGCACTTTACAGCTGGATATAAGGTCTGGTCTGAGGAAGGAGAGCTCCTGTGCCCTGCCATGAACCAACATTGTGGAGTTTTGGATAAAGCAAGAGAAGGTTTGGAATTGACTAAATGCAAAAAATGGTAATTACAATTAACCTTATTCTTCTTTGAGAAATCTTTATTTTAAGGTGTCTTTGTTACACTGCAATTATACATTTAAGTACTGAGTAATATTAAGTAATTACATGTACTTAGCCTACTATAGGGTTAGGATTAGGGTTGCATAATTTACTGTTATTACTATAGTAACTAACTGTAAAATATAATGCAACAATGACACTGTAAAATAAAGTGTTACCGAAAACTTTCTTAAATACACATAAATCACACTAATAGCAGAGTACTGTTAACATGACATCATGACTTTGCGTAAACATACACGCCACTTTCAATTCAAGTGGCGTGTTATCTATACGCATTTTGAGGTATCCGCGTGTATGTCCACGCCGAAATCTTTCTGCAACATGACATCATGACTTTGCGTAAACATACACGCCACTTTCAATTCAAGTGGCGTGTTATCTATACGCATTTTGAGGTATCCGCGTGTATGTCCACGCCGAAATCTTTTGCGTGTATGTCTACGCCATTAAATGTCCGAGTGATTCCGCGTGTATGTGTACGCCGTTAAATGTCCGAGCGAAACGAAGCAAAATCTATATCTACATCTGTGGAGCGATATTTCTTTTCCTAGGATGGTAGGAGAAGACTCATAAATGGTATTAACCCCAGTGACGGGTAGGTTTAGGGACGGGGTTGGGGTAGGTCATATATTTATATATACATAATACAGTAATATAACGTTAAGTCAAAGGCGTTGATAAACACGCTGAAAAGCGATTATGCGTGTTGATAGCACGCCAAAAATGAAAATACGAATTGGCGTGTCATACATACGCCATTTGTGAATATGATCATTGACCATTGACCATGACCATTTTGAAACATAATTTTCAAGTTCACATAACTTACGTTTTTCAATTAAGCATTACGTTTATTTACTTAAAACATGTAGTAAAACCGTTGCCTTAAATTATTAAGTAAGTGAACTGAACACTTTTTACAGTGTATATAATGGTGTGGATGAATGGTAAGCAAGGAAAGCTGAAGAAAGTCCCATGAATTTGTTTTTTTCTTCACCTATTTTTGGAACAGTATATTTGCACATCTGATTTAGCTCTCGAATGGAAATTTCTTCCACTATTTTAATGTGGACAACCTTAAAGGGATAGTTCACCAAAACAAATTGTTTACTCACCCACAAATCTCTGACTATCTTCTGTGTAACATAAAAGAAGATAATCTGAAATATGTCTGTTTGTTTTAAACAATGACCATACAATATCATACAGTCCATATACAATGACAGTCCATTTTCTTAAATGTTTTTCAAACATATCTTCTTTTATGTTAGTAATACAGTTTTGCAATGGCATGAAGGTAAGTCGACCCATGCTTAGGAATTGTTTTTTGAAAAATTTGGGGCTCTTTTCTGGACTGTACAACCAAATATCATTGCATGTTTGAGATCATATATAATGATTAGTTTAACCATTTACATAAATATAAGCGGAGTTGCATGTGGGTTTTTTGGTTCTGGTTTTGTAAAAGAAAAAGAAAAACAACAGTTGTAACCTTTTCTCTT